GGACTTCTCCTGGACTTACTGCTGTGCCTGGAACCTCAGATCTAAAAAAAACCCCCAAGATTATGGCAACCAGTTTGATTGATAACTGGGAAATAGAGGGAGAAAAGGTGGAGGCAGTGACAGACTTTGTATTTCTAGGCACGAAGATTACTGCAAACACAGACTTCAGCCAGGAAATGAGAAGGTGTTTCCTTCTTGGCAGGAGAGCAATGAGCAACCTTAATAAAATAGTGAAGAGTAGAGACATCACACTGGCAACAAAGGTCTGGATAGTTAAAGCAGTAGTATACCCCATAGTAACCGATGGATGTGAGAGCTGGACTATTAGGAAAGCCTAGCAAAGGAAGAGAGATACTTTTGAACTGTGGTGTTGGAGGAAAATTCTGAGCGTGCCTTGGATCGCAAGAAGATCCAACCAGTCCATACTCCAGGAAAGAAAACCTGACTGCTCACTGAAGAAAAGGATATTAAAGGCAAAGATGAAGTCCTTTTGCCACAAAACGAAAAAATAGGAAAGCTTGGAGAAGACAGTGATGCTGGAGAAAGTGGAAGGAAAAAGGAAGAGGGACCGACCAAGGGCAAGATGGATGGATGTTATCCTTGAAAGGCTCCCAGAGACCCCCACAAATGACGGACCTGGACCAAACTTGCCACAAAGCCCCCCCCCCCCCATGACCCACCTCATGTCCTGGTGTGGCCTGAGGGATTATGAGATTTACAGTACCTCCACTCACTTCCAGAGACCACTGAGACCTCCACACATGATGGACCCCGACCAAACTTGGCACACAGAACCCCCGTGACCCACCTCATGTCCTGGTGCAGTTTGGYGGATGATGGGATTTGCATTACCTTCACCCAATTCAGCTCCCACAGACCACTGTGACACCACGCATGACGGACCCTGACCAAACTTGGCACACAGAACCCCCATGATCCACCTCATGTCCTGGTGCAGTTTGGGGGATGATTGGATTTGCATTACCTTCACCCAATTCAGCTCCCACAGACCACTTTGATCCCCATGCATGACGGACCCTGACCAAACTTGGCACACAGAACCCCCATGACCCACCTCATGTCCTGGTGCAGTTTGGGGGATGATGGGATTTGCATTACCTTCACCCAATTCAGCTCCCACAGACCACTGTGATCCCCACACATGACGGACCCTTACCAAACTTGGCACACAGAACCCCCATGACCCACCTCATGTCCTGGTGACGTTTGAGGGATGGTGGGTTTTGCAGTACTTTCACCCGATTCAGCTTTCACAGACCACCGAGACCTCCACAAATGACAGATCCTGACCATACTTGGCAAACAGACCCCCCCCCCATTGACCAATAGAACATAATCAAAGGGTTTTAAGGGGACTGACCCACCGGTGTGGGAGTTACAATTCACCATGCATCTAGAGAGCATTCTGAACCCCACCAATGACAGACCTGGACCAAACTTGGCACACAGAACCCTGATGACCAACACAACATAATGGAGGGGTTTGGGGAACTGACCCACCCGCATGCGAGTTCTAGTTCACCCTGCATGCAGAGAGCACCTTGAAGCTCACCAATGATGGTTCAGAAAGAAACTTGGCACACAGAAACCCCAGGAGCAACAGAACGTACTGGAAGAGTTTGTGGGGAAACTGACCCACCCAAGTGGGACTTGTAGTTCACCCTGCACCCAGAGAGCACCCTGAAGCCCACCAATGATGGATCTTGACCAAACTTCACACACAGAATCCTGTTGACCAACAGAACATACTGGAAAGGTTTGTGGGGAGACTGACCCACCTGAGTGGGAACTGTCGGTGATTGACCCATGATTTTGCGAATTGCAGTTTACCCACATCCTTATGCATTTTCTAATGGAAGCAGTCATAACAAACAAAAGGAAAGACTGGGATTTTTCTCTAAGAAATAGTGTTACAAATTATCAAACTACTATTACCAAACATCCAAAAACAAACAATACCTTTTTCATACAACTCAGGCATTGCCGGATCCTCAAGCTAGTTAACTATAAAGCCGTCAACAGTTCGGGCCCGGACTATTTGGCAAACCACATCCCTGCCTACAAACCTGCTCGGACACTGCGATTGACAGAGGGGGCCCTCCTCTCAGTCCCACCCCGTCCCAAGCATGGCTGGTGGGGCCAAGAGAAGGGGCCTTCTCCGTGGTTGCTCCTTCCCTCTGGAACTCCCTCCCTAAAGAAATCAGAGCAGCCCCATCTCTCTTCTCCTTTAAGAAACAACTAAAAACTTACTTTTGTATGCTAGCTTATGTAGAAGGTGATTTGTTTTTTCCTCTGATTCTAACCTGACAGTGTTGACAACAAATTCCTTAACTTATTGATGAGCTATATATCTTGTATGTTTATATTTTATACAGATTTCAACAGCTTAACTATTTATTTAAGTATAATTTTCGGTTATTTTCTGGCTAGTTTCAAAAGTTCATATTGATATCATTTTTACCCACTGTTTTGATGTGATTTGTCGTTGCTTGTTTTCGGCACTGAATGTTTGCCACTATGTTATTTTTGTTGGAAACCACCCTGAGTCTCCCCAGGGAGATTGGCCGGGTTATAAATAAATGATGATGATGATTATTATTATTATTAACTTCTTAAGGTGTTATTTATGAGGCCTGACTGAGTTATATATCTTTTAGCCAAGATTGTTCAATTGTTTTATCTTTAACTGTTGTTAACTGTTTGCTTTAATTGTTTTTGTTATTTCCAAATAGCATTAAATGTTTGCCATCTTTCGTTTTTGGAAGCCGCCCTGAGTCCCTCTGGGGAGAGAGAGTGGGATAAAAATGAAAACTGTTATTATTATCATTATCATTATTATTATTATTTGAAACACAAAAAGATTAGTACATAGAAAACGAGTTCACTCTGCTGGCTGTTGTATTGGATCACACGTAAGACACTTCCCAAGTGTCTAGGACTATGTGATGTATCGGCGAATAATGTGTGCAGATCCCAGTAAGGTGGCCTTTTGCAGCTGACAGATGGTAATTTTGTCAGCGCCGATTGTGTTTGTGATCGCATCTCCTACCACAAACCTGCATGATCTCTTTGATTCATGAGATCTCTTCCAACTCTTTGTACCCAGACTCTGAGGAGGCCCTTCTCTCACCCCTTCCTCCATCACAGATTTGTCTTATGGGAACGGGGGAGAGGACCTTTTCCGCTGTGGCCCCCCGCTTTTGGAATTCGCTGCCTAGGGAGATCAGGCAAGCCCCCACCCTAGCTGCTTTTAAGAAAGATCTAAAAACCTGGCTCTTCCGATGTGCCTTCATAGAATGACCACTCAACCCATCTGGTTGTTTTAGCCTGTAGCTGCACTATGAATAAAGCACCTTCCCTGCCCTAAAATGGCTAAATCCCACGGCTCCTCCCTGTTGGGCTCCTCTCTTACAAATGCACTTTCATCTCTATCTCACCCATGGTTTAAACTTTTTAACATTTTACCTCATACATTTGGCCCGCCCTTTGCGTCTGATTTTATTATGCAGTTTTATATTGTTGATTTTATTTGTTATTTCATGTTTTATTATTATGTATTTTGTATTGTCAAACCCTCACTACCTCTGAGGATGCTTGCCATAGATGCAGGCGAAACGTCAGGAGAGAATGCCTCTAGAACATGGCCATACAGCAAAAAAAAAAAAAAACCCTACAACACCCCATTATGTATTTTGTTATTGTGTGTTTATTATGTTGTATTATTTTGGGCCTGGCCTCATGTTAGCCGCCCCGAGTCCCCTATGGGGAGATGGTGGTGGGTTATAAATAAAGTTTAATATTATAAAGTTTATTATTTAAGTGCAGGCCAAGGTCTTTAGGCATTGTACCCAGTGTGCTGATAACCACTGGGACCACCATGACTGGCTTGTGCCAGAGTCTTTGCAGTTCGATCTTTAAATCCTCGTATTGTGTCAGCTTTTCCAGTTGTTTCTCTTCAATCCTAATAATACTAATTATTATTATTACTACAGATGATCCCCCACATCAGTGGTTCTCAACCTTCCTAATGCTGCGACCCCTTAATATAGTGGTTCTCAACCCTAATGACCCCTTAATACAATCCCTCATGTTGTGGTGACCCCCAACCATAATATTGTTTTGTTGCTACTTCCTAACAGTCATTTTAGTACTGTTATAAATCATATTGTAAATATCTGATATGCAGTATGCATTTTCATTGACTGGACCAATCTGGGCACAAATACCCAATACACCCAAAAGTGAATTCTAGTGGGGTTGGGGGAAGATTGATTTTGTAATTTGGGAGTTCTAGTTGCTGGGATTTATAGTTTACCTATAATCAAAGAGCATTCTGAACTGCACCAGCGATGGATTTGAATCAAACTTGGCTCCCATGACCAATGGAAAACACTGGAAGGGTTTGATGGGCATTGACCTTGAGTTTGGGAGTTGTAGTTCACCTATATCCAGAGAGCACTGTGGACATGCAATGGTGGATCTGGACCAAACTTGGCACGAATACCCAATATGCCCAAATGTGAACACTGGTGGAGTCTGTGGAAAATAGATCTTGACATTTGGGAGTTGTAGTTGCTGGGATTTATAGTTCATTACAATCAAAGAACATTCTGAACTCCACCAGCGATAGAATTGGCTCAAACTTCTCACATGGAATCCCCATGACCATCAGAAAATACTGTTTTCTTATGGTCTTTGGTGACCCCTCTGTCACCCCCTCGCGACCCCCTCAGGGGTCCCGACCCCCAGGTAGAGAAACACTGCCCCACATACACTGAAGCCCAAGAGGGTCCCTGCCCCTTTAAGAAGTCACACACTGCGGCTGTTGTCCTTTCCAGCCTCCTCGGCCAATCCCGGCGTTCCATTTCAGTCCCGACTTCCTAAGCCCCGCCCCACCCAGTCGCCGCAAAACGCCCTGGCCGGAGGACCAAAGCGCATGCGCCAAGTAGCCTACTTTTCGTCCCGTTGGCCAAACTCACCCAGACAGACGCGGGCCTTGGTCCCGGGACGAAGGAAATGCTTCACGGCGTCGGAAGAAACACGTTTGCTGGAGTTGGCTGCCTGGACCATGGTAAGAGGTCCGCAGCCTCGAAAAGAACGCCACCCCCCACAAGCGTTTAGTGAGTTTTCTGAGCGAGTTCCGGTTTGCGTCTTGTACGTTCTGAAGGGGTCCGGCGGGAAAACGGAAACCGCAAACCGCGTATATTGGTTCCTGCTTTGGTGGCACCTTAAAACAAAAACGATGCTTAGGGGAAGGGAGAGGGAAGCAGGGAAAAGGATGGCCTCCCCATAGTGCCTATCTGTGAGATGAAAAGAACAAGAGGAATGAAGAATTTAATGGGCATATAATAACAGCCAGCCTTTTAGAAACGTGGAAAAGGTACAACAATAATAATATAAAGTAAAGGTGGTCCCAGTGGTGATTGGCACACTAGGTGCAGTGCCTAAAGACCTTGGCCTGCACTTAAACACAATTGGCGCTGACAAAGGTTACCATCTGCCAGCTGCAAAAGGCCACCCTACTGGGATCTGCACGCATTATTCGCCGATACATCACACAGTTCTAGACACTTGGGAAGTGTCCGACATGTGATCCAACACAACAGCCACCAGAGTTATCTTGTCTGCTGTGGACTCATCTTAGAAGTGACTTGCAGTTTCTCAAGTCGCTCCTGACACGACAAAAAAAAAGCTAGTTAGTTAAGTTACGACATTTATATGCCACCCTTCTCACTCTGAAAGGTTGACCCCTCACAAACTAATACCTATGCCAACATAAGGGCAGATCAAATAGCACACCAACTCTTGAAGAATGGGAAACCCAACCTTGCCACCAAAGTAGGAAAGAAACCAATAGCCAGACAACCAGATATTGAGAACAACAACCTTCATGAACCTTTTACATCTACTGAATTGGACACGGCTCTCAATAAATGTAAAAATGCCAAAGCAGCTGGCCTGGATGATCTACGGATGGAAGAAATCAGGAACTTTGGTCCAAAGGCAAGGTGCTGGCTGCTGGAACTGATGAACAACTGCACTGCATCCTGTCAGATCCCCAAATTCTGGAGGAAAGCAAGAGTCATAGCCATCTTGAAACCAGGCAAAGACCGCAATGATCCAAAAAGCTATAGACCAATGTACCTGCTGTGCCACCTTTACACAGTTCTGGAGAGACTTATTTTGCATAGAATTATGAAAAAAATAGACCCCTGTCTGATTCCACAGCAAGCTGGCTTCAGGAAAGGCAAAAGCTGCACATCGCAAGTGCTGAACCTGACTCAGTACATAGAAGATGGCTTTGAAAGGCAGCAGATCACAGGAACTGTCTTCATAGACCTGTCAGCAGCTTATGATACTGTAAACCACCGCCGCCTCCTGAGAAAAATGTGTAATATCACAAAGGACTACCACCTCACCCGCCTCATAGGAAACCTGCTACAAAACAGGAGCTTTTTTGTTGAGTTCCAGGGCCAGAGAAGCAGATGGCGGAAACAGAAGAACGGCTGAACAGAAGCTCTCTGAAGCTCTAGGTGCCCTCACTGTCTATTACAGGGGAAACCAGCTGATCCCTAATCCATCTAAAACACAGACGTGCTTTTCACCTTAAGAACAGACAAGCATCCCGAGCTCTGAGGATCACCTGGGAAGGAATCCCACTGGAGCATTGCAGTGCACCCAAATACCTGGGAGTCACTCTGGACCGTGCTCTGACCTACAAGAAGCACTGCCTGAACATCAAGCAAAAAGTGGGTGCCAGAAGCAATATCACACGAAAGCTGACTGGCACAACCTGGGGATCACAACCAGACACAGTGAAGACATCTGCCATTGCGCTTTGCTACTCTGCTGCTGAGTATGTATGCCCAATGTGGAACACATGTCGCCACACTAAAACAGTAGACGTGGCTCTTAATGAGACATGCCGCATTATCACAGGGTGTCTTGCGCCCTACACCACTGGAAAAATTACACTGTTTAGCCGGTATTGCAACACCTGACATCCGCTGGGAAGTAGCAACCAATAGCGAAAGGACCAAGGCAGTGACATCTCCAGCTCATCCCCTGTTTGGCTATCAGCCAGCACGTCAACGACTTAAATCAAGAAATAGTTTTCTAAGATCTACAGAGACACTCGCTGGAACACCTCAGCAAGCGAGAGTCCAAAAGTGGCAGGCTCAAACCCAGAACTTCAATCAATGGCTGATACCAAATGAGAGACTCCCCCCTGGGCACACAGAAAACTGGGCGACTTGGAAGGCGCTGAACAGACTGCGCTTTGGCACCACGAGATGGAGAGCCAACCTTAAGAAATGGGGCTACAAAGTGGAATCCATGACATGCAAGTGTGGAGAAGAACAAACCACAGACCATCTGCTGCAATGCAACCTGAGCCCTGCTACATGCACAATGGAGGACCTTCTTGCAGCAACACCAGAGGCACTCAAGTGGCCAGCTACTGGTCAAAGGACATTTAATCAACTACCTAGCCTGCAAACTTTGTGTTTTGTTTGTTTGTCTGTTTGTTTGTTTTTTAAAAAAATGAAATACAACTGTTCGGTTTGCTCCCAACACGATAAATAAATAACCCCGAAGGGGACTCAAGAGCGGCTTACATGATATATATACATACAATATATTATATTATTAGCATAGTACAATATTAGTATTATATATTACTATATTGTACTATACCATTACATTGTAATATTAGTAATATTACATGTAATATATATTATATAATTATAATATTGTATTATTAGTATATAATATTGAAAGATTATGTACACTAAATAAAAATACACAAAGAACACACGTTTGCATCTAGGCAGAACAGTGTATGAAATGAAAGAAAACCATAGTACCTTGTTATTCATTTGAGTAGGATTTTTATTTATTTATCTTGTTGTGTTTCAAATAATAATAATAAACTTTATTTGTATTCCGCCCTATCTTTTCGAAGGGACTCGAGGTGGATTCCAACATAACAATGGCAAACATTCAATGCCTACATAAAACGCACGATGATAATAACAGAAAATCCCAGAAAAACTCCACATATAAAAGTAACATTAAAATCTAACATCAGTACATTAAACCTGACACCAATAAATTAAACTATATGCAGTAGACAAAACTCTAAAAGAACATAAATCTAAACAAAATATCCATATTAGTGTATGAAGGGGTAGGGCAAAAAACAAAAACGAAAAAGCAGGCCTGTTACCAGAAGAAAAAAATTGGAAGGGGTTGAAACTCCCCCCCCCCCCCCCCCAAGATGACTTTTTAGGCCAGTGTCTCCATATCTGGCAGGAGACCTCAACAAGGCCCTGAAATTACCATCATTGTGCAAAGGTTCTTCACGTTGTTCTGATGATACTGTTTTGGGTGTCTAATGAAGACTTCTATTGCATTTTTCCATCGCAACAACAATAACATCATACTTTATTTATATCCCAGCCCATCTCCCCATGGGGACTCAGGGCAACAAGGAAAGGCAAATATGCAATGCCATACACAAATGGTTTAGCAACCCATGCACCAAGCTTCTGATGAGCACCTTTACCCCCAACTTCTCCAAACACCACATTGTACGTACGCAGCACACCTTGTACATGAAATGAGAAGGCCAAGCAGGGAAATCTGCGGAACCATTTGGGTTGAAAACTTAGGTGCTTCTTCTTACCCACAGAAAATACATATCCTGGCAATGGTGTCTGTGGATTTTGTACTAATTGAGCTTTTTGGTCATCAGAAACAGTCTTGGTCATATAAAGTTCAAGGTCTAACAATGGCATAGCTTCTCTTTGCTCCTGTTCCATTGTTTCTTGGCAGGGCTTGGATTAGTTCAGTGGCTCTCCCCAGGTGTCTTGGCCTACAACTCCCAGAAATCTCAGCCAGTTTACCAGCTGTTAGGATTTCAGGGAGTTGAAGGACCCAAAGGTTGAGAACCACTGGATTAGATGAACCAGTGGGAGACACCTCAGTTTCCACCTGCAATCCAGGTCAAATCCCCCCCCCCCCCCTCTGCCTCGTGCCTTTGGGTTTGCCTGCCAGCTTGGTCACTTCTAGTATATCAGCTATTGCTGCTATTGCAATTTTTAATTGGTAGAAAGGTAGGTAATGATAATGTGGATAACCCAAATTTGGTTGAGATAGTGCGTGCAGTTCTGGAGGGACTCTTAATTTTTGATTCTCATAGACTTGGCAGGGGAATTTGATTAACCAGTTAAAATTCATGAGTAAATCAGTTGGGGTTTTGTTTGGTTTTGTTTTTTTGACCTGAAAATTTTAGAGGGTAGTTTGAACCCTTAAACCACCCCCTTGGCTATGGGCTTGAAAACCCCCTTATGGCTGCGTCCATTGAGAGCAGTCCCGAGACCGGCTACACACACTGAATCTGGAATGTAAAAGGACTATCTGGTTAAACAGAAAGGGCGATGGATAGTCAAGGGGAAAGAAGAATCAGGGATCAAAGACTGGTTCAGCTTCTTCCAATTACATGACAGATTTAGGAAGGACGTGGGGGTAGGATTTCCCTCTAAAAATTGGAGTTAGAATGCATCTTTGAGAAGGGCAACAATAATCCACATCTGTTTTGAACTGGATTATGAGAGTCTACACTGCCATAAAATCCAGTTCAAAGCAGATAGTCTGGATTTTATATGGCAGTGTAGAAGGGTCTCTTGTCAGTGTTGAGGAATCTGAGCTGCTAGGCTCAAAAATAACCCTCAGGGCAATTCTTTTGCCTGTAAGCAGCTTAAGTTGGAACCTGTTGAGGTATATCTCGACCTTTTTGGAACGTCACATTGGCTTATTTCACAAACTTCTATGCAGTTCAACTGCTAGAGAAAAACACCCATATCCTTCAATTCCATGTGAGTGTGGCATCTTTAGGGAGTGAACAAGATTTTCCAGAATCTTTTTACAGAGAAAATGATACAGATTTCTCTGCTTTCTGTTCAGTTGAGAAGGAGGCAGTGATATTATTTTTAATTTATTTCAGACATTTATATTCTCATCTTTTCACCTCCAGAGGGAGCCTCAGAGCAGCTTACAATCAGCAACCACTAGATGCCAACAATAAAAACACAGTTAAACATTAATTAAAATATCATCATAAGTTAAAAGAGCATTTAAAACAGGCCACTGTGCGCAGTGACTATGTTATAATTGATTGTTCTCTCCAATTCAGGCAGGCCAGAAGTAACTGCTGTCTGTGCCCCTTACATTCAGAATGTTCAGTTTATCATTTACTATAGTGTACCATCTTTCTGCCAAAATGGCACTCGAGTTGGCTAACACGAATATTAAAAAATAGCACTAATTTATTAATAAAATTTAACGTCTTAGATGCTGAATACAAATCTGTTTGCCTGGCAGCAAATGAAAGGAATACCTACTTAGTTGAGATCCACAGCTAGGGAGCAACTACCAAGAAGGCCCTCTTTCACATCCACACAAACTGTGCCTCCAGTGGCACAAAAGAAGACCTCCACCAAAGCATTTGGAAGCCTAGCAGCCTTGTAGGGTAAAATATGGTCTTTCGGAGACACATATTTTACAGGGAAAGTTTGATTCTTAAGATCCATGGCTAAGACAGTAGAATTTCATTTGACAGTTATGCAAGTCTGGAATCTGCCGCTGTATAATCTGTACTTAGTGATTTTGCTCTGTGACTGCTCATTGTGATGTTTTCAGTTCTTTAATGTATGGACTGCTTTACAAGCACACAAGCCATCTTCAGCTGGGTCTTTGGGGAACATATTGAGGCTACCGCTGTTGTCTTTATGGAAGTCGAGCTGTCAGATTCACCTTGCGTAGTTCCTCTAGATTAGGGAGCACACATCCACAGTTTCAGACTGACTGCCATCAAAGTTGCTGGTGAACCCCTCTCCAAACCCCTCTGCTTCCACCAGTTCTGGCGTCCTGTTGCACATGGGACAAAGTTGGTTCCGGACAATAGATGATCTCATCCAAATAATGAGATTCCAACGCTCTCCAGAGGTGACCGGCAGCGCCCCATGCATCTGTCCCCCACGATGGAGCAATCCGTGAAAAAGCACATGCTCCACCTCGATGTACTTTGGCACAGGGTTGACATCCTTTAAAAGCAGAAATAGCATCATGTTAAAATGCCAGGCAAACGACTCTTTGGAATAAAAACAGAAGAGGGAAATGGAAATATATCTTCTCATAGTACACCTTTTCTGATATGTGAAATGTGCTAATCACTTAGAAATTAATAACAGGACTAGATAAATTGTATGCTCACCACCAATGTTAAATGGAACCTTAGCCTGCCTTTTTAATATAGTGGACCATATCAATCAGAGGTTATTTGAATCTTTCACAAGTACACAACCAGGTCTGAAATATGTCTGTTTCATGCATGCTTAATGCATGCTGGGAGTGTGGCAATCCTTTTTCCACATGTGGTGGACCTGCTCTAAAGCAAGGCAATTTTTGAACTTGATATAACAACTACTGCAAAAAAAAATGTCAATGTTGCAATTCAACTAAATTCTGAACTTTTTTTTGACTTGGACTGCAAAATAGACAAGTGAAATCAACAAACACAAAAACATTACAATAGATGTTAACTGGGGCGAGAATGTTATAGGTACAAAATTGGAAAAGCACATGAATGCTAACCTAAGAAGAGTGTATTACAAAGGTTTTTAATCTAGCAGAACTAGATAAATTGGCAATGATGTTCAGGGGAAAAACCCAAAACAATTACAAAAAGGACTGAAAACAATTTCTAAAATTCATCAAAAAAGAAAAAAAAAGACAGACAACTATGGAATTTGAATAAAACTGAACCAGGGAAAATCACCTCAAAAATAATCTAGAAACAAGAATTAGCCAGAGTTGCTATCTTGGAAGATACCCAGCAGACATCTTTAAAGTAATACTATCTCTTGAGAGAATAATAAATTTTTAAAAAGAAATATGATCCTTTTCTTCTGTTTAGTGCCAGAATCCCAATAACCACAGGTAACTTCTCTGGCCATGTGAGTTCCATATAGCAGGGATGTTCTGGACTTCAGCTTCCAGAAATCCCAGCCAGTGTGGCTGATGGGTTGCAGAAGTTTTGCTACAAAACATCTGGAGAGCCAAACGTTTCTTATCTCTAGGCTTACCAGTTTGCTTAATCTTTTAAAAAAAATCTGCCATAGCCATACCATCTGAGAGTGAACAGCATATTTTTGTATAGAATATAAGAGCAATAAAGTAAACAAGTGCAAAGTAAACCACAGGAAGCTCATAATTTTTTTAGAATGATGGCACCTCTTTGAATTCGGCAAAGTAGAGGTTGCCATCTGTGAACTCTTTCCCCAAGGAAACATTAAGTGTGACTTCTGCATTGTCGTAGTGGGAGCTTAAATCCAGGTCTTCTTTTAAGGCATATTTCACCACAAAAGCTTTATGGCTGTCCAAGTGGCCTCCCCCACAGTCTGGATAAAGCAGAGCCGCAAGGGGCTGCAGGTATTTCTCACGCAAAGGGGTGATGAACGCTTCATCCATCCCAAGTTCATTTAGGAGAACCTACACAGAATGGTATAAGAGGGAGAAAGAAAAAGCTATAGGGTGAAACAATGAATTAAAGTCATTTTGCAATGGCTGAGAATGGCTCTCAGTTTTCTTATTGCTATATTATGTTAACACCCAGTCATCTTTAATATTGAATTTCAACTCGCATCTTATGTTCACTATATTTTAATCTTTGTCCTGTGTATTTTAACATATGTATACGGAAGAAATACGCTGTAATAAGTTTATTTAATAAGTTTATTGTCTAGCTCCAGTGCAGTCTGGCTTTAGGCCAGAACACGGAACTGAAACAGCCTTTGTCGCCTTAGTGGATGATCTGCGTAGGGAACTTGACAGGGCGAGTGTATCCCTGTTGATTCTCCTGGACCTCTCAACAGCCTTCAGTATTTTAGACAACAGTATCCTTCTGGGATGCCTCGCAGGAATGGGTCTTGGGAGTACTGTTTTACAGTGGCTCCAATCCTTCCTGGGGGGTCGTTCTCAGAAGGTGTTGTTGGGGGACACCTGCTCAGCCCCACAGCCTTTGTGCTGTGGCATCCTGCAGGGTGCAGTATTGTCGTCGTCCCCCCCCCCCCCCGTGGGAAAGCTCAATTTCACAATCCCTGTTTTAATGAGCCCCCCTCTGCAAATAACCTACTTCTCCTTTTATCTCACCCGTGTTTTTAATTAGTTTTTAATCCGTTTTTTAATCATTTTCTCGCACATGTAGCCGCCCATTGTCACTGTGACTGTGTTTATTGTAATCTTATATAGTTAATGTATTCATATGTTTTATGTAATTATGATGTTGTTTGTTGCATGTGTTTTTGGTTTTATTTTGCTGTAATTTGTTGATTGGGCTTGGCCTCATGTAATCTGCCCCAAGTCCCCGTTGGGGAGATGTTGGCGGGGCATAAATAAAGTTTATTATTATTATTATTGTCTCCCATGTCATTTAACATTTATATGAAGCCGCTCGGAGAAATCATCCGGAGTTTTGGAGTTTTATGCCATCTGTGTGCAGATGACACCCAACTCTACTGCTCCTTTCCACCTGCTGCTAAGGAGGTTGTTCAGGTCCTCAACTGGCGCTTGTCAGCTGTGACTGTCTGGATGAGGGTAAACAAATTGAAGCTAAATCCAGACAAGACAGAGGTCCTCCTGGACATTCACAAGGCCAAACAGAGCATAGTGTTACAGCCTGTGCTGGACATGTTTACACTCCCCCTGAAGACGCTGGTCTGCAGCTTGGGAGTGATCCTGGATTTATCATTGAGCCTGGAACCCCAGGTTTCGGCAGTGGTCAGGGGAGCATTTGCACAATTAAAACTTGTGTGCCAGTTGCGCCCATACCTTGGGAATCCAGACTTGGCCACAGTCATCCACACTCTTGTTACATCCTGTATAGACTACTGCAACGCACTCTATGTGGGATTGTCTTTGAAGACTATTCGGAAGCTTCAAGTGGTCCAATGGGCGGTAGGCAGGTTCCTCACTGGAGTGTCATACAGGGAGCATACAACCCCCCTGTTACGCCAGCCCCTTTGGCTGCCAGTCTGCTACCAAGCTCAATTCAAAGTGTTGGCTTTAGCCTATAAAACCCTAAACAGTTCCAACCCAGCTTACCTGTCTGAATGTATCTCCCTCTATGAACCTTTATGGAGATTAAGATCTTCTAGGGAGGCCCTGCTCTTGGTCCCACCTCCATCACCGATGCAGTTGGTGGAGACAAGAGACAGGGCCTTCTCAGTGATGGCCCCTCGGCTATGGAACTCACTCCCCAGGGATATTCAATCAGCTCTTTCCCTCCTGGCTTTCGGAAAGAAAGTAAAAACATGGCTATGGGACCAAGCTTTTGGAGAATAACGGCAGTGCGATAAATGAATGTACAATCTGTGCAATGACAATTGGAATGGCTCTGGATTACAACCTTGGATTATGTGATTTTAATAATTGATGTAATTGTTTTAGATGTTTTTAATTATTTGGTTTTTAACATAAATGTTTATCAATTGTATGTTGTTTTTAAGACATTGAATTATTGCCGATGTGTAAGGCCGCTCTGAGTCCCCCTCAGGGTTGAAAAGGGTGGGGTACGAATGTGGTAAATAAATAATTAATATTTTATATAATGGTTATGATGATTATGTATTTTAGCTATGTTGTAACCCGCCTCAAGCCACAAGGAGAGAATATGTCCTGTTAGTCAATAAGTCCCATTGATTCTGAAGCATTTACTGCACGTAGGACTAAAACTGGATCTACCGCTACACATTTCCCAATGGACAGCTCAGTTGCTTTCTCATATGACATACCTGTTAAGTTCAGGTGAGCCATACTATCCCCTTTCACACTGTGATGTCCAGACTTTGTCATCTACAAAACAAGGCGCTCACCCCATAGTTATTCATAGAGTTTGGCCTCCCCTTGGGCATCTCAGAGTGTTCAAAACTCTCCAGTTCTTTGATGAAAGCTTGACAGAATTCCTTGGCAAATACTGGCAATCGATAGATTCTCTTATCTGATAGGAGGGAATTAAAAAGAGAGGTATTAAAAAGAAAGAGGCTTGTACTGAGTAAGAATGCTCTCCAGGCAATCAAACAGAACAATGTTGGCTTTCATTTTGGAAATGGGTTCATTCTTTTTATTGAGATAGGACCCTAGCTCATTGAGAAGTTCATGCTTTGCATACAGAAGTGTCCCATGTTTAATCCTTGGCACACCCAGTTAAAAAGAGTCTCAGTTTTTCCAGTGAAGGCCAGAGTCCTTATTCCCAATATTGCTGGACTGCGATGCCCATAAGTTCTGATTGATGGCCTCAGGCTTCTGGGAGATGAAGTTAAACAGATTGTGGGGATTCAAGGTTGGGACAAGCTGCCTGAAAACAGTGTGCTGTCTAATTGTTTGATTTTACACAGAAAGAAATTGAACGACTTTCAAAGCCACTACCTGCTAAATGCATTTTGTATAAAGTGAATTCTCACCCAGGAATACAAAATGCCAATACAGTCAAAGATCTTGCACAAAGAATTCACACAAGGGGTTGCAGTGAGTTTTCCGGGCTGTCTGGCCATGTTCCAGAAGCATTCTCTCCTGACATTTCACCCACATCTATGGCAGGCATCCTCAGAGGTTGTGAGGTCTGTTGGCAACTAGGTTTATATATCTGTGGAATGTCCAGGTGTGTCTTGGAACAGTTTCTTTCCGTAGATATGTTCACACAAGTACCATGCCATGTGTACTTTACTGATAAGTCAATTTCGCTTACCTGATATAGTTTCTACACGACTGAGGAGGCCTTGGAGATCTGCCTCTTTGGATGTACAGTATTTGACTGTTTCTAAAAACTGTGGTGCCAGAAATGATTCCTAGAAGTGGAAGAAAAAGCAAGATGTGTGAAACAGAATGGAAAGTGCCATTTTAAGAGGACTCCCTTCCTGAATACCTCTTCCTGTAACACTGTCTTTACACACAGACATGGATGGACCAACTGACAAACAGACAGCCCCTGATCTTAATAATAATAATCATAATAGTAATAATAACTTTATTTTTATACCCTGCCTCCATCTCCCCGAAGGGACTCGGGGCATATTACAAAGGGACATGCCCAATAAAACAGGTTAAAATAAGCATAAAAAACAAGCAATATCAAACATCAATAAACATAAAATCAGACTACATTATAAAAACTATCAAAGCTAACGTGGCTGAGCAAATCAAGTGCTGGGTTCGGATCATAATTACTAAGTGCAATGAATCCTAAGAAGAACCAGGGAAAGTGCAACAATCAGAGGGCTGGGCTAGGAGGCAAATGTCTTTAGGCTATTAAGGTGTTAGAAGTGCCAAAAAGGGACCATGTTAAAGTGCAGGAGGTGGATAGGTCGGGAAATTCGGCGGTGAACTGCCTCATCAAAGGCACAATGGAACAGGCAAGTTTTTTATTCCTTGTGGAAAATGGAGAGAGTGGGAGCCTGTCTGATCTCCCTGGGGAGGGAGTTCCAGAGCCGAGGGGCCACCACAGAGAAGGCCCTTTCTCTCGTCCCCACCAACTGAGCTTGTGAAGGCGGTGGAAGCACGAGAAGAGCCTCCCTGGATGATCTTAAAGTACATACTGGTTCATAGGGGAAGATGCAATCATGAAGATAGACTGGTCCCAAACCATTTAGGGCTTTATAGGTGGTAACCTACACTTTGTATTGGGACTGGAAACTTATTGGAAGCCAATGGAGCTGTTTGAACAGGGGGGTTGACAGCTCCCTGTAACTAGCTCTAGTTAGTAGTCTGGCTGCAGATCTTTGAACCGACTGTAGTTTCCGGGCCATCTTCAAAGGCAGCCCCACAAAGAGTGCGTTGCAGTAATCCAATCTGGAGGTAACTAGGGCATGGACCACCATATCCAAGTCAGACTTCACAAGATACGGGTGTATCTGGCGCACAAGCTTTAATTACGCAAAGGCCCTCCCAGCCACTGCCGACACCTGGGCATCAAGTGTCAAAGCAGAGTCCAGAAGGACCCCCAGACTGTGGATCCGTGTCCTCAGGAGGGTTGTAACCCCATTGAGCACAGGTTGCCACCCTATATCTTAAAAATACATCAATATCAACACGAGGTTCTTTACCTGTAAAGTATAGAGCTGTGGATGCTTTGGTCTGTAGTTCCGGGAGATGATTGCTTTCCTCTCTTTAGAACGGTAACTTAATTCCTTTCTTCTTTGCACTTCTTTCTCAATCTGGAAAAATCCAATCTGATGCTTATTAAGCGATCACTAGATGGACAGAAGACAAACTTAACACCCCAATATTCTCTATATTTACTTTGATATACTGCATAGTCTAATCTTATCCCCTCTTTCTTAGAAGTGAGTCCTATAAGTTCAAAATGATGTTGTGAGCGCATGATGTACCGAAAGGATTGAGTGGTGCAACCTGATCTTACTCTACAATAGAACCCGGATTGTGTCATCAGTTGCCAAAGAAGAAAAGGTGCTATAAATCAGAAATGCCCTAGCCACAGAAGCATAACCTATGGTGAGGAAAGGCTCCACAATTCCCACCCTTGCTCTAAATCAATTAATTAAAACTTGTGCGCCAACTGCGCCCGTACCTTGGGAAGTCTGACTTGGCCACGGTGGTCCACGCTTTGGTTACATCCCGTTTAGATTACTGCAACGCTCTCTACGTGGGGCTGCCTCTGAAGACTGCCCGGAAGCTGCAGCTAGTGCAACGCTCGGCAGCCAGATTTCTAACGGGTGCTGGGTACAGGGAGCATACAACCCCTCTGTTATGCCAGCTCCACTGGCTGCCAATTAGCTTCTGAGCACAATTCAAAGTGCTGGTTTTGACCTACAAAGCCCTAAACGACTCTGGCCCTGTTTACCTGTCCGAACGGATTCTCCCCTACGAACCATCAAGGTCTTTAAGATCTTCTGGGGGGGGGGGGCTGCTCTCGATCCCACCACTGTTACAATCGCGGTTGGTGGGGACGAGAGACAGGGCCTTCTCGATGGTGGCTCCCCGGCTTTGGAACTCCCTCCCACAGGAGATTAGAACTGCTCCCTCCCTCCTGACGTTCAGGAAGCTAACAAAGACTTGGCTATGGAATGCGGCCTTTGATAACCGAGTCAACTTTGGTCCACATGGAAGGAGAATGAATACCTGTGAATTATGACCAGGAATGCTTTGACGACGTGGCTATATCAGTGTGATGATGACGATGTTGTATTGTAATATGTTTTTAATTGTGTAATGATGATGCATTGTGTGGTTTGGATTTTTGTATATGAACACATGTTGTGAACCGGATCTGAGTCCCTCTTGTAGGTGAGAAGATCAGTATAGAAAACTTTTAAATAAATAAATAAATAAATAAATATTAATTATTATTAATAACAATGATAATAATAATGAGTCTATCTACAGCCTAGATTACAGTGGTCACAAGAAACAATTGATCCCCCAACTTCCCAAGCATTCTAGCATGTCCTTAATTCTATTCTGCCTTTTTACAAAAAATATATAAGAGCTGGTATTCTAGTCAAAATGGTCAAATTGTTTATAGGAATATTACTTGTGGTTATGTATTCATTTTAAATATATTGGATTATATTTAGCCCAAGCTAAATATAGGAGCCCCTGGTGGCACAATAGGTTAAACCCTTGTGCCAGCAGTACTGAAAACTGACAGGTTGCAGGTTCAAATCCAGGGAAAGCATAGATGAGCTGCCTCTGTCAGCTCCAGCTCCCCATGTGGGGACATGAGAGAAGTCTCCCATAAAGATGGTAAAACATCAAAACATCTGGGCACCCCCTGGGCAATGTCCTTGCAGACGGCCAATTCTCTCACACCAGAAGAAACTTCCAGTTTCTCAAGTCACTCCTGACATGGAAAAAAAAGCCCAAGCTGAAACGCAATTAGGTAGAACAAGATATATACGTAATAGTCTGACAGTTGCCTTTGCTTGAGGGGGAAATGAGATGTGGTTTTAATGTTTTATTTGTGTGAATGTATTTTTATTATTTCACTGATTTACTTTATTTTATTTTTAAATGGGGGGTAGAGGTTCATTGTTGGTCTGTGTTGGTAGGTATGGGGAAAATTATGCTGTGGGATATTATTGAGTTCTTGTGTTTATATTTGTTTTTGTTGTGAACATTTAATTAAACATAATTTAAAAAATCTATTGTGCCTTTGGTAGATTTTAAATTCCATCTGTTTGGAAGGCAACCATGGCAAAGGGGCAGTTAGTTCTTTTACATTGTATTGTACTGTACCTCTTGGATTACAGCTGTAAATTCTTCCTCCGTTCTGCAGCCACGCTGTCTTAATGCCTGTCAAATGAAGAGGAAAAAAGAAGCAATTTAAATATTAGGAAGAACTTCCTGACAGTAAGAGCTGTTTGGAAAGATGCTGCCTGGTGGGGTCTCCTCTGGAGGTTTTCATGCAAGATGGCCATCTGTCAGGAGGGCTTTGGTTATGACTTCCTGCCTGGCAGAATGGGATTGGACTGGATGGCCTTTGGGGTCTTTTCCAACTCTAGGATTTGATTATTCTAGGTGTGAGTGACTTTCAGAAAGCACACATATTTTGCTTCATAAATGGCAGCCCTTGTACTAGCTCCTGTATCAGTGTACAGCTTCCACAAGGCCTTTGCTCATGTTCCTGTTGTTGTTTTCAGGCAACATTTTCAGATCACGCAGGATGGGTATTAGGTCCCCTGAAGTAGCCTCACAGGTATATCTTTTAAGTGTAACTCCAGCCACATATATGCATATATATTTGCTTTGGATAGCATAGAGAAAGGCGAACAACACTGAGGCATTTGTTTTGCTCTCTGTGCCCCTGTTCAGAAGATTTCACCCCACTTTCTGTCCCTGTGATTTTGAAATAACTGGCTTATTGTGGAAAAAGGGACTGGTGAGAAAGATTCAGTGGAGACCCTTTTCCCCATGATAACTCTTCCAGGAGTGAATCTCCCTTCCGAGGGATAGATTCCTCTCACCCTTGTTGTCTCACCCATTCTTAACTAGGAGTCATTTGTAAGTCAGATGTTTGTAACTCGAGGACTGCCTGTATAGGTGTTATACAGTCCAACGCTTGGACAAGGCCCTGACTGTCCACCAAATTAATTTTAGAGTTTTTTTAATACTTGTAGCCAGATTTTGTTCATTTTCATGGTTTCCTCCTTTTTGTTGAAAATGTCCACATGCTTGTGGATTTCAATGGATTCTCTGTGTAATCTGACATGGTGGTTGTTGGAGTGGTTCTGCATTTCTGTGTTCTCAAATAATATGCTGTGTCCAGGTTGGTTCATCAGGTGCTCTGCTATGGCTGACTTCTCTGGTTGAAGTAGTCTGCAGTGCCTTTCATGTTCCTTGATTCGTGTATGGACAATGCTGCGTTTGGTAATACTGGCTACCAGTATTAAAAAACTGCCAAGCCATCAAATGCTAATCAAGGTGGTCAGTTGAAATATTCACACCTAGCTCCAGCAGACAAGAGTCCTTTGTCCCACCCTGGTCATTCCACAGATATATAAACCCATTTTCCAATTCCAACAGACCTCACTATCTCTGAGGATGCCTGCCATAGATGCAAGAGAAACGTCAGGAGAGAATGCCTCTAGAACATGGCCATATTGCCCGAAAAAATCTACAACAACCCAGTGATTCCGGCCATGAAAGCCTTCAACAATACATGGCTCTAATTTCTCCTCCCAACCTTCCCTTCTGCAGGCTAAACAGACCCAGTTCTTTAAGACGCTCCTCAGAGGGATTACTCGTGGTCTCCAGACCTTTGATCATTGTAGTTGCCCTCCTCTGGACACCTTCCAACTTAAGAGTCAATGTCTCTTTTACAGCTGTGTGGAAGGGGCCCAGTCTTTGGCCTTCCAGGGGTTTTGGACTTCAACTCCCAGGATTCCTTATCATTGGTCACAGCGGCTGAGGCTTCTGGGAGTTGAAGGCCAAAGCCGCTGAGGCCGACACTGTCATCCTGAGAGTTCACCACAGAAAGCCAGTCAGAACCGGAAGGAAGTAAAGAGGGAGGGTTCGAGAAAAGGGGTCCGCTCCCCCCCCCCATCTCCTCCGATTACCGGCCCGTATTCCCGGCGGAGCTGCTCGGGGTCCCCGGCGTAGCGGACGTGAAGGCCGTAGCGCGGCACGAAAAGGTTGTCGGTGAAAAAACAGGCGCAGGAGAGGAAGCCCTTCCTGCCAGGCCTCACGCTGCCGGCCGCCATAGAGTCCGCCCTCGAGCCCTAGTGAGTGGGTCCGTCGCGCAAAGCGCTCCGGGAGGAAACGCTCCCACACGTTCCGGAAAGGCGCAGAGAGGGCAAACCGAAGGCCTGCTGCTGTTGCTCCCCGGCCTAGACAAGCCCGCCTGGTCCCCTGCGGCCATTGAGCTGGCCTGAAGTCACAATGGCGAGGCGGCTCAGTCCTGTGTCTCGCCCAAGGGGAGCGGATGCCGCCTGAGCCGCCACTGCAGCGGGGCTTTGGTAGGCCCGGCATGGAGGAGGAGGAAGAGGAGGAGGAGGAGGAGGAGGAAGAAGGAAGGGGGCCTCCGCCTCGCCCCCCGCCCAGCAAGTTCGAGGACATCTTCCGACTTCTCTCCGAGGGACGCTTCCCGTCCGGGTTCGGCGCCATCCAGAGGAAGAACCTCAAGCGCTATGCCCAGAAGTTCCGCGTCGAGGGTGAGGGAGAGCGGGCTCCGGGCTGGAGCCCTTGCCATGCCCCCATTGGGAGGGAGGGAGGGCCCCAAAGGACCTGCACGCAGGACAGCGAGGGAGGCAGGGCCCCAACTAGCACAACCATATGCTGGACACAGCATATTATTTGAGAACACAGAAATGCTGGACCACTCTCACAACCACCATGTCAGGCTACACAGAGAAGCCATTGAAATCCACAAACATGTGGACAATTTCAACAGAAAGGAGGAAACCATGAAAATGAACAAAATCTGGCTACCAGTATTAAAAAACTCTAAAATTAAAACAGCAAAACAGCAGAGGGAAAACAATCAGGGGCATCTAATCACCTCTCAACAAAAGCACTTCCAGGCTATCAAATGCTAATCAAGGTGGTCAGTTGAAACATTCACACCTAGCTCCAGCAGACAAGAGTCCTTTGTCCCACCCGGGTCTTTCCACAGATATATCAACCCATTTTCCTAGTTCCAACAGACCTCACTACCTCTGAGGATGCTTGCCATAGATGCAGGCAAAACGTCAGGAGAGAATGCCTCTAGAACATGGCAATATAGCCCGAAAAACCTACAACAACCTAGCACAGCGGGCTTCAGCAGAGAGAAATGCATGGAGTTGGAAGAGACCCTGAGGGCTATCTAGTCCAGTGGAGCCCCCAGTGGCTCAGTGGGTTAAACCCCTGAGCCGGCAGGACTGAAGACCGACAGGTCGCAGGTTCGAATCTGGGGAGAGGCGGATGAGCTCCCTCTATCAGCTCCAGCTCCTCATGCGGGGATATGAGAGAAGCCTCCCACAAGGATGATAAAAACATCAAATCATCCAAGCGTCCCCTGGGCAACGTCCTTGCAAACAGCCAATTCTCTCACACCAGAAGCGACTTGTAGTTTCTCAAGTCGCTCCTGTCACAACAAAAAAAAATCTAGTCCAGTGTTTCTCAACCATCTTAATGCCTCCACCCCTTGATACAGTTCCTCATGTCGTGCTGACCCCCAATCATAACCTTATTTTCGTTGCTACTTCATAACTGTCATTTTGCTACTGTTATGAATTGTCATGTCAATATCTGATAGGCAGGATGGATTTTCATTCACTGGAATGAATTTGGCACAAGTACCTGATACGCCAGATTTGGAATACTGGGGGGGTTGGGGGGCTTGATTTTGTCATTGGGGAGTTGTACTTACTTGGATTTAGAGTTAACATACAATCGGCAAAAGTATGATAGCTGGGACCCTATGCTGGTTGTGCGATGCAGGTCAGAATTAGAGAAGCGAAGATGTTACATATTTGAACGTGTTTGCTTACGATATCCAGATAGCCTTAAGCACTTACTTACTTAGGCGATCCTCGTTGTCCAAGTAGGATTGTCTTCCAAGATTGCTGTACTGGCGGTGGTTCCGTAGGTTACTGTGGAGCCCTATTCTTGATCTGCATGCTCTCCCGTAGTGAGGGCATTGGTTTCCAGGTGGAAAGTGGTCCCAGTTGGGGTTAGCTTGATGTGCCCTTCTCTTGACACGTTTCTCTCTTTTGCCCTCCCTTTGTGTCTCTTCAAATTGTACAGCACTGCTGGTCACAGCTAATCTCCAGCTGGAGCGCTCAAGGGCTAGGGCTTCCCAGTTCTCAGTGTCTATGCCAGAATGTTTAAGGTTGGCTTTGAGTCCATCTTTAAATCTCTTTTCCTGTCCTCCAACATTCCATTTTCTGTTCTTGAGTTTGGAGTAGAGCAACTGCTTTGGGAGACAGTGGTCGGGCATCCGGACAACTTGGCCAGTCTAGCAGAGTTGATGGCGAAGGACCATCGCTTCAATGCTGGTGACCTTTGCTTCTTCCAGCGCACTGACATTTGTCCGCTTGTCTTCCTTAAGCACTATGCTTGGCTGTTTGTTGTCCCCCGCCCCTTTCTGTTAAACTATCTTGCCACAACTCTGTCGCACCTGTGTTTCTGACTCGCTGCGCTGTCTTGGCATTGGGTCCCAGCTATCATACTTTTGCCCTACAATTAAGAGCATTCTAAACTTCACTAATGATGGAATTGAACTGACCTTGGCACACAGAACTCCCATGATCAACAGAAAACACTGGAAGGGTTTGGTGGGCATTGGCCTTGAGTTTTGGAGTTGTAGTTCACCTATATCCAGAGAGCACTGTAGACTCAAACAATGATAGATCTGGACCAAACTTGGGAGTTTGGGAGTTGTAGTTGCTGGAATTTATAGTTCACATACAGTCAAAGAGCATTCTGAACCCCACCAACGATAGAATTGGGCCAAACTTCCCACACAGAAGGGACACACTGGCATGAGCCTCCCTTCAGCTGTGCATGCTCTCCGTCACCCACACATGTGCACCACGCTGCCATGTGCCCAGCATGCCTGCTCTCCCCCCCCCCCCCCCCCCCCCCCCCCCCGGAGTCTCAGAAACAGCCCTCCCCTTGGCTGAGAGGCTGGCTAATCACAGCAGAGGAGGGCTTTTGGTGGGAGGATTCTCCTTCTGTTTCCCAAAAGGAAGAGAAGGACAGGCAAATAGCTTCAGCCTTCTCTGCCAAAGGGATTCCTAAGACCATCAGAGTGGTCTTTGGTGACCCCTCTGAAACTCCCTCATGACACCCCCCCCCAGGGGACCTGGCCCCCAGGTTGAGAAACACCTATCTAGTCCAACCTCCTTTTGCCAGGCAAGAAACGCACAACCAACCCCCCCCACACACACACACACACACACACATTATTATTATTATTTATTTAGAGCTTTTATAACCCGGTCTTCTCGACCTCCGAAGAGGGACTCACGCCAGCTAACAGCAGAAAATTCATACACACATAGAATAAACATAATAGCATCATAATACATTAATACAGAAATACATTAAAATACAGATCATACAATTACAAAAGCCAGGTCGTCAGAGTAAAATACAAATTCATCACCATCTGCCAGTGTGGCCAGCCGTTACTGACTGCAAATGCTATATTCCAAAGCCAAGATTTTACCAGCTAACATGAGCTAACAGTGTGATGCGTCAGCTAAGAAAACCAATGCAATTCTAGGCTGCATCAAGAGGAGTATAGTGCCTAGATCAGGTATGGGCAAACCCAGGCCTGGGGGCCGGATGTGGGCCCTTGGGCTCTTTTCTCAGGCCCTCCTCTCTCTTACCATTCTATCCTTCCTTCCTTCTTTCTTTTCTTCGTCATTCCTTCCCTCTTTCTCCTTCTTTTCCACCCTTTCCTCCATCCCTCCCTTCCTTACCTCCCTCTTTCTCCCTCCCTCCTTCCTTCCCTCCCACCTTTTTGTCCTTCCTTCCTTCCCTCTCCCCCCTTTCTCCTTCCTTTCCTTTTGTTTTTACTTCCTTCTCTTTTTCTTCCCTCCCCTCCCTCTTCTCCTCTCCCTCCATCCCTTCACCCTTCCTTCGTTCCTTCCTTCCTCTCCATCCTCCTTCCCTTCCCTTTCATCCTTCCCTCCTTTGTCTTTCCTTCTCACTTTCCTTCCTCCTTTATCTCCCTCCCTTCCCTACCTCTTTCTCCTTCCATCATTCCCTTTCATCCTTCCTTCCCTCCCTTTCTCCCCCTTTCTCCTTCCTCCCATCCATCTTCCTTCCCTCTTTCCTGCCTCCTTCCCTCTAATCCTCTTTCTCCTTCCATCCTTCCCTTCCTCCCTTTCGCTCTTCCTTCCTTGTTTTGTCCTTCTTCCTTTCTTCCATCCTTCCCTTTCTTCCTCCTCCCCTCTCTCCCTCTTTCTCCTTCCATCCTTCCCTTCCCCCCTTCCATCCTTTCATACTCTCTTTCCTTCCTCCTTCCCTTCCTTCCTCCCTTCTTTCCTTCCATCACTGGACAGCCAGTCCTTCTAGCAGGGAGTGCTAGCATGCGGCCCCCAAGTTAGAAAGCTTGCCCATGCCTGGCCTAGGCTGAGGGAAGTCCTACTCCCCCTCTCTTCTGCTTAGGTCAGACCTCCACACCTAGAATAAGAACTCTGTGTCCAGTTCTGGGCAAAGCACTCCAAGGAGGAGATGGACAAGAAGGAAGATATCCAAAGAAGGGCAATAAAAATGGTAAAAGGTCTGGAAACTAAGCTCTACAAGGAGCATCTTAGGGAGCTAGGTCTGTTTAACTTGGAGGGAAAAAAGACTGAGAGAAGGGGATGAGAGAGCAATGTTTGTTGTTGTTTATTTGTTCAGTTGCTTCCAACTCTTTGTGACCTCATGGATCAGGCCCTGCCAGAACTCCCTGTCGGCTGTCACCACCCCCAGATCCTTCAGAGTCAAGCTAGTCACTTCAAGGATGCCACCCATCCATCTTGTCCTTGGCTGGCCCCTCTTTCTTTTTCCTTCCATTTTCCCCAGCATCATTGTCTTCTCTAAGCTTTCCTGTCTTCTCATGATGTTTAAATACTTGAAATAATGAGCAATGTTTAAATACTTGAAATAATGTTGCTATTTTTCTGATGTTCCAGAGACTAGGAGCTCTTCCATACAAGCCCTGTATCCCAGGATTTGATTCCAGGTTTTCTGTTTATCCCAGAATATCTGGCAATGTGGATTCATA